TCCCCTAGCTAATACCACGAAGTGCATTGGATTATATCCGACAGGTGTCAGTGCAGGATTCTTCACAGAAGTAATTCCGGCATATGCTTTTGGCGATACAACTGCCGCAATGTAGTTAAAATAAATGACTGAGAACCCCATCTCCACTAAATATTTTTCTAGTTGATTGGGATGATTGTGCAACGTTACATCGCTGACAGACTGCGAATAGCCATGATGGCATGTGAAGTTATCGACACTGCCTGTTCAGAACACGAGACTTCAGTCCATTTCCTTGAGCAGCGGAGTAATGAATAATTTTCAAGTATGGGTTCCGTAGACGTACATAAATGAGAACAATTTATTTCAAACATTCAATGTTGTTGTGAATAAAAGAGAATTGAAACTTTCTATTTTCTTCATTATCATTTCTTACCACGTAGTAACGGCTGCATCCATCAATTTATTCAATGTTGTTGTATGATTTGTTGTATGAAAAGCACTTTTTAATGAGTCACATACCGGAGTTTGATGTCATGATTTGATTCGGTCTAAGAGTGCTTTAATCAGATACTTTATTATACAAAGAACATGAATCAATGATAAAGTCCTTTCAACTCATTCAGTGTTTTCATTAGTGAATTATACTAAGTATGTGAATTAAAATGACTACTTCAGTTTTCTCTCTAGTAACACAAGTGAACAAATGTGCTTTTCATATATAGTTGATACTTTGGTGTTTGCAAATGACGGGAGTCATAAAATCATCGATATGTACTTTCAAACTGAAAGAAAACATTAAGCTATGAAATGACCAAGACCATCTTTAAGAAGAAAAACCGTGCCTGTTGATGAAAACTGCAAACTTAGAAGAACAGTGCGTTCATTTTAATTTGACATGGAAATACTGACTAACGACGAAATAATGGGAACCTTGAAAGAAGACCAAATTATATCTCCATTGAAAGATGGAAAGAAATTGTGGAAAACTTTAAAGGAATTAAATTTCAGGGAAATAATTGAATTGTTCGGTGGAGGAAACATGACCTAAAGCAGATGAGAGAGTGGCTTAACGAAGAATATACCGTTGGGAAGATGTGGTAAGACAAAAACATCACAAGTTTATATCAAGAATATTTGGAAGGCTGATCTACCAGATCTAAGTCACCTTCTGGAAAAGGAACGCGAACTTCCTGAGAACGTTTTTCCATATATATTTAATCTCCAGCGATTCAAATCCCATGTGAAACAATACTTTCGCACAGGCACCGCTCTTAGAGCGCCTTACGCCGTGTAGTGCTTGTGTTTTGTCCTTAAAAACAAAATAATTATTAGTTTCAGTATCTTTGATTACTCAGGCCACTTCAGGTCATAAAACAAACCAAAGGGTCATACAAACTTTTGTTTGGGATGCAAAAATAGGGTGGAACCAAGAAAGTTTTCTGAATCGGTCTGTGCCACTTGTGACAAATCATGTAATGATCATTTATTACTTTTCACTATTTGAAAACAGAGTATAGTACAAATAGATAGATAGTTCGTTAATTGATTTTTATTGCTTATCAACTAACTTTATAATAATTCAATTTGAAGAGTGTATTTTTTCATGATAGTGTACTGCATGTTTTTGGGAAAAACAGTTTTTGTTTAATTCAATCACAATCTTCATTATTGAAACTACAAAATATGCAAGTATCTATTCCTTGAAGTCCTTGAAGATTTTCTGAGTTTCTAACTTTCAACAATGTGAAAAATTAACGAAAGAATCGAAAAATGAAACAAAACAACTGATCTCAAACGTAAAAAAGAGTGAACTAGGAAGTTCACCCCTATAACGATTTTTTTTAAAATAAAAAATAGGCGAATGTATAAGAATTTTTTTGCAGTTAGAAAATCTGGGGCAAACCCAAAAACTTAAACCCTTCAAGTTTGGAATTGAATAAAAATGTCTTCTCATTATAGTATCAAAGATGGTACATACAGGGTTGGACACAGAATTGAACGACCTTTACAAAAAGGTTTCTAAAAGAGGGTTGTTGTGGGAAGATAGTAGTACACAAGGGTCTGATTTTTACATAGAATTGTGTTCCCCTGAAAACCAAAATTAATGTGATTCACGATTTTATATAGAGTTGGTATCAATGGACTTATTAAGAGTGGCTTATTTCAACTAATATATGCCCACTTTGATTTTACAATTCAAACTTTGACAGGCACAGTCTACTCAAGTGTGGCTATCAGATAAGATGAAAAAAGGCAGTAAACGTACTTTACTAGTGTCCTTTGAATAGAAAATATGACTAACATTCAAGTTATTTTTCAGTTCCGTCTTTTTTCATCCACCTTCCAGATAGCATAGAACATGATTTACTGGCAGGACTTTTATTATTACAATGTTCCAACCAGTAGTTACATTAAAGGATTGATTTTATCAAATGTGCAAAACTTGTTCGAGCAAAATACACTCCCTTCATATTAGAATCTCCCACACACCTGTCAAGTATCGAATATATATCTAACTTCTCTAGGTCCTCTCAATAAATTATCCACCTAAACGATAATGATACTGATGTTCAATCGATAAAGTATTTCTTATTATTCTTGGTAATGGGGCAGATGGCATAAAACATGATTTACTGGTAGGACTTTTATTATTACATTCTAGTCGATAGAATAATTGCCAGATACTGGTTGAAAGCGGTTTAATGAAGGATTGTCAACAACTTAGCAAGATTTCAACGACTTGACTTCTTTTGGAAGTTTCCCGCGTTTATTGTGTAATTTTTTCTTCCTTTCTTCGAAAGCGTCCCATGTTTTTTATTCGAAAATGAAGAAGTAGAAAGTCGAAACTCTCAGTTCCCAAGAACTCATCAAAAAAATGTTTTCTCTCCAATCCAAAGCTCAGGTACAATAAGCCGAGGTCTTCAAGGTTTTTGAAGAGAATCCCATAAATTCATTTAACCCCACGTAGATGCAGGTGTAAACTGATCTCTGCAGCTTCGATATGCATCTCTTGCTGAGAGGGTTGCATCTTGGTGACAAAGGTTTTGCCATCTTGAACAATTTAAAAAAATTAAAACAAGTTCATCGACCGCTCAGAGAGCTCTTTGAAGAAGGAATTCACCATCAGCTCTTTCACAGTAACGGACTATGCAAAGATGAGGATCCGAAGACTCCATCTACAGACTCCATTCACTATCATTCCATGATTAATATTTATTTTTCGGGAATAGCAGATAATAACGAACATTTTTAATGAAAATTGCTGTATTGTTTATCGAAATACTCCCCTGGATAATCAAAACACTTTTGCATTCGTTCGAACCATTTGTCAAAGCAGTAAATCGTTGACCAAGCAGTTTACCTTTGATATTTGGGAACTGTGTATGGACTGTATGGAGAATGAGTCATCAACTCGATGTTTTCACTGCTGAAAAATGTATCTAATTAACGAGATGTGTGAGAGCTCGCATTTTCATGATGAAGAAAGATTCGTCTTCGGCGGATAGTTTTACGAAGACTTCCGGCAAACAAATGGTCATGTACCACTCAGAAAAACAGGTGACCATTTGCTTCGCTGTGCTTCTTCCACGAACAACTAGTGTTGGATTTAGCTCGTCTTGGAATACCCACACTGTCGATTGCTGTTTTGTTTTCGGCTCATACGCGTATATTCATAATAATTTCCTTATACCACTTGACACAAGCTTTTTTTGAGCGATTGATAAATTATGGTGTATCCAACAAAAACATTTTTTTACAACTAAGGGTTCATCCAAAATCGAATGTAGCGTCTAATGTACAAGGATGCCTCTATCTCACAATATATCACATGACGATCTTGCATTATCACTTTACACACTGCATCGATTTCTCGTGGCACCACAACCAAGTTTGGACGATATTCACGGAATTCGTAGGCGACCGAACTACGACCACGGTTGAATTCACTATACTAGTGTTTCCCAACCTGTGGTCCGCGGACCCCTGGGGGTCCGCGGTGTCTTCTCTGGACCATATATAAATCGCTCATTAAATGCAAAAGGGCCGCAAAACGAAAAATCAGCAAACCAGTTTTATTAGAAAAATGTGATCTAAGCACACGATATTTAAAAAAATTAAAAAAGATGCATCCAATGATGTATAACACTATCATTAATCTATAAAAAAAGAAGAAAAAATACATAAATTGGTCTTTCGAATTTTGTTTTGGCTCTCCTGTAAAAAAAATATATTTGGGATTGCGTCCCTTTTGCATTTAATGAGCGAATTGCTTGATTTTTCGTAATCGCCACGCTTACTTAGCACGGCGAACGTGCGGTGAGCGAGAACGAATGAATGATGTGAGTGAATCAAGTGCGTGCTGGCGTCGTGCCGGGCCGGGACTCTTCTCCCACCGCACCGCACTGCACTGCTCGCAAATTACGCTTACACCCGCCGCCCGCAATTAGTGCAATTGTTTTGATTTGTGTTGTGTTACGTCCGAGCTTAAAATAGTAAAATTACGTTTTTCAAGTTATTGTGACCTGTGAAAATGAAACGTTGGTTAAAACCAAATGACTCCGCTATTATTAGAAAAATGTGATCTAAGCACACGATATTTAAAAAAATTAAAAAAGATGCATCCAATGATGTATAACACTATTATTAATCTATAAAAAAAGAAGAAAAAATACATAAATTGGTTTTTCAAATTTCGTTTTGGCTCTCCTGTAAAAAAAATATATTTGGGATTGCGCCCCTTTTGCATTTAATGAGCGAATTGCTTGATTTTTCGTAATCGCCACGCTTACTTAGCACGGCGAACGTGCGGTGAGCGAGAACGAAAGAATGATGTGAGTGAATCAAGTGCGTGCTGGCATCGTGCCGGGTCGGGACTCTTCCCCCACCGCACCGCACTGCTCGCAAATTACGCTTACACCCGCCGCCCGCGATTAGTGCAATTGTTTTGATTTGTGCTGTGTTACGTCCGAGCTTAAAATAGTAAAATTACGTTTTTCAAGTTATTGTGACCTGTGAAAATGAAACGTTGGTTAAAACCAAATGACTCCGCTTTGGACGAAGCAAATGAAAAACCTTCGACTTCAAAGGTTAAACGTCGTAAGTTTTGCGACGAATACTTAGCTTTCGGTTTCACAAGTACCAATTTAAACGGTGAAGATAGACCTCAGTGCGTCATATGCTACGAAGTTTTGTCAAATGAGTCGATGAAACCGGCCAAACTCCGACGTCATTTAGAAACAAAACACCAGGAATATCGTGACAAATCAAAAGCCTTTTTCAAAGTTAAAGCCTCGCAATTGAAACAAAGCAAAAAAACAATGATAAAGACTGCTACTGGGACCAATAACGAAAGTGCTGTATTAGCGTCCTACCAAGTATCTTTGCTAGTTGCAAAAAGTGGTAAGCCCCACACCATTGCTGAAGGCTTAATTTTACCGTGTGCTAAAATCATGGTTTCTGCTATGTTAGGTGACAAAGCTTCAAAAGAATTGGACGTTGTATCGTTATCAAACAACACAGTGAAGAGGAGAATTGATGATTTGTCGGGAAATATTAAAGAACAGCTGATTTTCTACGTTAAAGCAAGCAGATTTTATGATTTGCAATTAGATGAGAGCACAGATATTAGCAATGATGCAAACTTGCTTGCATATGTTCGTTACGAACACAACAACAGCATAAGTGAGGATTTTTTATTTTGTTTAACTTTACCTTCGCACACTACAGGTGAAGCAATATTTGAAGTATTGAACAACTTTATGTCCATTCATGAAATTACATGGGACAAATGTGTGGCAGTTAGCCCCGACGGTGCTCGGGCTATGACCAAGACACGAATAGGGCTGCAGGCGCGCGTTAAGAAGATGAATCCAGCTATTATCTGGCATCATTGCTGCATTCATAAGGAAGCATTAGCAGCTAAAAACATGCCAGAACAATTAAAAACAGTGTTAGACGACATAGTGCGTGTGGTGAATTTTATTAAAGCTAGGCCTTTAAATTCCCGTATTTTCGGTATCATTTGTGAAGAAATGGGAAGCATTCACAAGCAGTTATCTCGTGGCAAAGTTGTGACGCGTGTTTTTGAGCTGAGAGATGAGATCAGAATGTTCTTTTTGAAGAATTCTGGACACAGCGTCAGCAAATATGCTGATCACTTCAATGACTTTGGATGGCTTACAATGGCAGCATATTTGGCTGATATATTTAGTGCCCTTAACGAGTTGAACTTAGGTCTACAAGGGAGAGATACCAACTTCTTCCAAGTCGATGATAGAATTGAAACGATGCTAAAAAAACTTGACCTTTGGATAAATCGTACAATTCAAAAAAACTATAATCACTTTCCAACACTGTCACCGTTTTTGGAGTCCTCTGGTGAAGCAATATTGGCAGCACAAGTACAAGATGAAATGGTGACACATCTCCGCACTTTGATGTCTTCGTTTCGGGATTATTTTCCAGTACCCGACAAAAATAAAAATTGGATATCAGACCCTTTCAACACAGATGTGTTGAATATGTGTGTTGATATTAATGGCTTGACAGCGGCACAGGAAAACCAATCAATAGAAATATCCTGTGATTCAGTATTGAAACGCAATTTCAACGCATCTTCACTATCAAGTTTTTGAGTGAATGTAAAGACAGATTATAAGGAGATATCGGACGAAGCACTGAAATATTTACTGCTTTTTTCAACCACATACCTATGTGAAAAGACATTCTCTACTCTTGTGTATACAAAAAACAAATACAGAAACAGATTACAAGTAGAATCTGATTTGAGATTACACTTAGTAGCAACATCAACCCGAATATTCCTGATTTAGTTGCTAAAAAGCAACACCAACCTTCACATTAATTTTTTTTTTTTCATATTTTTCATAATAAACAGTTATAATTACCTCCTGTATTTGTTTTTTTTGTATCTGTAATAACTAAAATAAATACCTAATCCGTTTTTTTGCTGTTTATTTTATTAAGGGGGCCAAGGAAAACTGTGCTTGATTTCCTGAAGGTCCGTGGACTGAAAAAGGCTGGGAAACGCTGCACTATACCATGCTTTAGCTCCATGTAAAGAACTGAGTTCATCGACACATTCTTGTTGAATCGCTGAAATTTGTGAAAAATAATCCAACGAAAACCTTGTCTTGAAACTTCCATTTTTTGGTCAAAATTATTTTCTTAACTCACTGTAAACAAAACAAGTAGCAATTGTTAATGAAAACGTTGTGAGTACGTTCATGCTAAAAAATGTCAATGGTCGATATTTCGTACTGAAAACTCTGGCGTAAAGTGAATCTCTTGGAAACACCAGAACAAAAATTACGATTTTTCGACGTGCGTCATAATGATCTCCTGAGGACGCTAACTTGGTTAGCGAAACGCGAGTCGAGAGACCGTAACTTTTGTTCTGGAGTTAGGAAAGCGTTTTCAATAGATTTATTATGGTGTTGCCACATTAGTGTTGCCAGTTCTCGAAATATGAATTGTCCCCATCGTATTTTCATTACTATAAACTGATACGAACTGAGACAACTATATCACCATATAGATTATTCTAAGCATGGAAAAAGCGATTTGACATTGTTCCGACGAGGAACAAAAGATGTCATCTGGATCTGTTGCTTGTGAATCTGTTAAATAATCTATCTTGTATTGGTAGGTTTATGGTTCAAAGTTGTTGTTGTTTGTACGGTGGTCAACAACAACAACGAAGTTTCCGATTAACAATCGGCTTAACCATGGCACAATACAGTGTAAGTTGTTTGAGAACAGTTCTTGTTTTGGGTCGGTTCAACGCCAGTGGTTCAAGTTCTGTCTTTAAACCCACGGCAGTTTTCCAATGTTGACCAAGAGGTTATTTGAAATGCCGGAATTTCAGTACCATGTGAGATATCGCAAGCAGGAGATTTGTTTGTATCGAGGTTTTTGAGTTTTCTGATTTGCCTTCTTCAGTGTACATGATAGTATTTAGTGACTTTCATCTCTTTGGCCAAAAGTGTACAGTATGTAAAAGCCAAATGAAATAAATTCATTATTTTGGTAACTGTACATATACAAAAAAACATGAAACACGTCAAATGTAAGTTATAATTTGACATTCTACAACGTAAAAATGCCACCCCTACCTTCAACCCCCTTCGAATGGCAGGTTCAACCCCCAATTTTTTTAATGGAAAGTATAGGTTTGTGATATATCGTTTGGAAGGTCTCTTCATTCTCTATTCAAAACTTTTATCGCTTTCAAGTTTATTGCAAAATCATGCGGTTACCGAAATTTGATAAAATACACTCAAAAACTAAAATGCAATGCAAAACGTGATGAAATGTAGAATACGAAAAAGAACTATGAATGTTAACGAAGTAGATGTTCAAAATGTTTACCGCGAATGTCCTGTCAACATTCTAATCTCAAATAAAGCTTTCTTCTAACATTATTTAACATATCGAACGTGACCGACCTAATCGCAAGTATTATTCGTTTTTTTAAGTCATTTAAATCTGAAGGTTTAGTTTTGTACACATTGCTCTTTACATATCCCCATAAAAATCCAATGATGTAAGATCAGGTGATCGCGCTGGCCATTCAATCGATCATCGCCTTCCTATCCACCAATTAGGAAATGTATAGAGGTATTGCCGGACAATAACTTGGTATTGTGGTGGTGCTCCATCCTGGTGAAACCATATCGTATTCATTGGAACTTGAGGGTTTCCTGGATCAGGATATAAATTTGCTTAACTTGAAATGACATCAATTTAAAGTAGTGCCAAGTAATCATCTTGATTCAAGTTGAAAAAGGGTTTCCCAAAATGGTTTCCTAAAATCCTTGGCCAAACATTAACCTTTTGAGGGTATTGTGTGTGTTCTTCTCTTATCCAAAGTACACTCATCAGAAAACATAACGTCTTCTAACTGGATGATATTGTTATCCAATATGTCCATCATTTGCTCACAAAAATAAGTTCTTCTATTAAAATCGTCTTCCATAAGCTCCTGAGTAGGTATCATTTTATAGGAATGCATTTTATTTTCTTTCAATATGTTTTCTATCGATGTATGGCTAACATTGAATGTAGTGTGGGTTTTCCTCAATGTCAAGCATCACTTCTAATTTGAGTTCATCACTCATTGCATTGGCAACTGTTTTTTTATCTGCCCCACACTACCAAGTTTACGAAACTGATTCTCTATTTTGCTTATTGTTCCTTGAGATATAGGCAGTAAATCAGGAAATTTCTCATTGAATAAGCGAGCTACTTCCTGTTGTGTTCGGGTTTTATCTCCGTAACCAATCATTTATAAAACTATTATTTTATACGTTTCCGTTAATCTAACCATTTGTCAGACTTGAAGTGAACGAACTTAAAACTTGAATTTAAATACTGACAACTAATGTCGTAACATATAAAACAAGTTGACAAGGCGTTTTAAACTAATGTTGTCACGGAAATTATTTACAGTTTGTTAAAGAATACCATCTAAAAAGAACATTGCTATGTGTTTTGCTTACTTTCTTATTCTCAATATCTCAGCATGAAATAAGTTTTGAGTATATTGCAATCAGTTTTGAGTGTATTTTATCGAATTTGGATAACCACATGATTTTAATTTATTTTATCTTAATTGTTGCAATAAACTCGAAAGCGAGAACATTTTTATATAGAGAATGAAGAGACCTTTCATAGGATAAATCACAAGCCTATACATTCCATTCAAAAAATTGGGAGTTGTACTTGTGATTCGACGAGTGTTGAAGGTAGGGGTAGTATTTTTCCGTTGAAGTATGTCAAATTATAATTTAAATTTGACGTATTTCGTGATTTTGTTAAAATATGTACTGTAACTGAAATAATTAGAATAAAAATGGCAAATAGCACTTGAGGAACATTCACGCCAGGACGCAGATCAGAAATTATCAATCTGTGGCTTTTTACACGAAAATTGAGGAGTCGTCCGAAGTAAAATGTGCAGGAAATCAGATTCTCTAATGAATGGCTGATGAGTTCAGCAAAAAGCCTATATAAAAGTCGAAGAGATCACTTCACTTTCCTAGCAACACAAGGATAAGCCAATACATGAAACCTTCTTTAACAAAGTTGAAGCGCCTGACTTTCGCTTTCCTCAGAAGTTGAAAACTCAGGCATGTATCATGACCTGTCAGGATAGCGTTTTCAATACCTTGGTCTGCCGTGACACGCTTGACTCTCAGGCGTCTCGCGGCAGACTAAGGTGTTGAAAAATTGCTGTCAGCATGTCCTGCATATGCGGTCTTAAGAGTATTTTATCACCTCCTACGGCACTTTTACGGTATTGATGAGACACCGGTGTTGCCGTACGCTCCAGGAAATATTGTGGGTTCTGAATCTGTAGAGTAGGGAGGGTGAGTATATGCACACAGCACTTAGGCTACATGTGACCCATTGTACATCCTCCTGAGGAGTTGTCCTCCTAGGTCATCGTCTATCCTGTCTCTTCCAGGAAGGTGGACAGGTCACTAGGAGACATCCCCTTTATATCGGCAGGTGTAGGCCAAGACTCGCCGAACACACACTCTCTTATTGACGATAACTCCGGGCACTCGCACAGGACATGCCTGACAGTCTCATCTTCCTGTTCACACATCCTGCATATAGGTGTGTGAACTAGTGCCATATTATGGGACGAGTGGACCTCTATACAAGCTAATAAGCCTGATGTAGTTCTTCTCGATCATCTGAGCAAGATGATTTTTGTGGTGGATTCTCCAGCTCCTGGCGAGACGAATATCGTTCGAAAACCGAAAAGAAAGGAAAACACGGTTGAAATATCGAGATTTTCTCTTCGAACTCCACAGGTTTCATCCAGATCACTTTGTCAAGATGGTTGTTTCGATTATCACAGTTCTTGATGGAATGATACCCCCTCTGCTCTCGAATTCCAAAATCATGCCGGCTTGCCGTAATAAGGCAGAAATTTTAGCCGGACAAATGCAGAATGCTGTCATTCATGGCTTACTGCGCTTGCTCAGGGAATCAATGAAATGGCCTTCACAAATGAAAAAGTGTTTTTCATTGATAACTTTTAGGAATCATGTCATCTTGCTTGGAACCAAGTGTTTCATTTATTTTCTTTATGTGACACTTACAAAAGCTTGTTTTGCACGGTGGTGCCTTTGCAAAAGGCACCGTTTAATATTTATAAACCATTATTTTTTTGATAAATCTCTTCTTCACAGAAGCAGCAAAATACACCGCTACAATTTCATTAAATATCTGATGGGTCAGAATTGAAATAGGATGACGCTACCTAGCTACTCTGATTTTGATGTTCATTCTGGCTGGAATGTGTTCCAAAGTGCATCCAAATATATTCACGCTTGGCAACACGCTGCGACGCATACATCCTTTCTGACGTCACACACATTTT